CTATATAATAATTTCCCTAATTGTATTAATATTTTAAATCGTTTGATTTTTTGTATGTTTTTTAATTGGTTGATGATTGATTCTATCAACTAATTTGTCGATTGTTTGATTATATTAACTTGATTCTTTAGATATCGAAAATTAAATAAATAACATTATGTTAATTTAAGCGTACAGAAACGTTGCTGTTGTTTCAGCAAAGATGTTATTTTCACTTTACCGAGTGCCTAGTAGGTAATTTGCAGATTACCTAGATAATCTGCACATTACATAGGTAATTTCAGAAATAGAACAATTTTAGCAACTTTAACGGATCACGCTAGTTAATCTTCAGATTAGCTAGGTAATCTGCAGATTAACGAGTTTCCGAGCTTTAGCGGTAACATCTACATTAATTTGGTCTGAAAGCGAAGATCGGACGAAGGTCTGGGTAATGTAGCTGGTTTATTTACAATGCTATGCATACAAATTATATCATTGTGTATAACTCATTTAAGAAAATTTTTTATAATTAAAAAAAATAATAAGCATTACAGTCAAGTATCCATACTTGGGACAATTTTCAAATTCTGAGCTAAAAACCACATATAAAAAATGAAAATAAATACGTGCAAATATTGGTCTCTAGCATTAGTTTTGTTAACACTAACTAAACATTTTATATCGCTATTGTATTAAAAAAAAATTTTTTTTTAGATGCCTCTTGTCCAAAGTTAGGATACTTCCCCTAAATTGAGACATTTGTTTCAGCTTTTGTACCATGTTAGTGTGGCTGTTATTTTATTTGGAACACTAATAAATATTTTAAAAATAAACTGAAAGCTATACGACATTGTAATGAAAATTAAACCAATTAAAATAGTCTTGATGTCACTCAATTAGCTAACTATACATCCACATTACAGATAACTTTATTTTATCTCAAGACAAATACATATTAGTGAAACTAATCGTAAATCATAAAAAGTCCTAAAATGCCCCTAGTAATGCTACCGTACTAAAACTGTACTTAACTAAATAATTCAATCGTAAGATATTTTTAACTAAAAATTAACTGTAATTTTGAAAGTACCTCTTTTAATTTATCGTTCAGCGTAGGCTTGGGTTTTTTACCACCTGTTATATTTCTAATTGCACCTACTCTATACCACATTCGTGAATGCTCTCTTTCCTCTACCAATCGTAATGCAGCCAAACAAGCAGCATCTTCGTCGGATAAACCAGGATATTTTCTAATTTCCTAAAAATTCCAATTTAAAAAAACTTAAAATATTTATAAATTTATTTTGTCTATAACTGTAAATAAAATTAGCAAATGAAATTAAATTTCTTAATAGAAATTTTAAGAGAAATTTTTGTATTAATATTTAATTTTTTGAATATGAAAATAATGATCTAAATTTACCTACAAAATTCTCACCTTAATAAAACTAGTTAAATTTTCTTTATTCAAATGGCCCCGAGGAAAATACGTCTTTAACAATATAGCTGAAAAAAATTATAAAAATATAAAAAAAACTTTAAGGTATCGTTTAAGTTATGTATTTCATAATTCTTTGAATTTAAAAATAATTTTATCAAAATATTTTTCATATAATACAGGATATCCGGGACGAATAAAAAACTTGTTGTAAATCAGTGCAAAACATGTATACAACAACTTGCTTTGCGATAGAAGATAGAACTTTCGAGATTATACGGGCATCACTAAACCTCTACATATGCGTCCTTTGTGTTGCAATAGATTAGGGGTGGCCAACCTGCGGCTCGCGAGCCACATGCGGCTCTTTGAAGGATTATCTGTGGCTCTCGATAAACGTACCCGAGTTCCCTTTTCATTTTTGTGTTATTATATTTTAAAAAATTATTATCGTTCCGTATGTGTTTCAAAATGTCTTTTAAATTACTAACAACAAATATGAAAGACTAAGTGCAACGTTGTAACAAATTTCATTTCCGTCCAAGTTAAGAATGATATGACTCATCGAAAACTGCGCGAACGAACATAAACAGTGGCGTAATCGTCCGTTATCGACCGACTCCAGACCGATTTTGAATTTGTAAACTGTCATTGCAACGGACAATTGACATTGTGCTCTGGAGGAAACAATTTGTATCACTCTTGCTACGGATATAATTTGTATTCTGGAATTTTTTGCATACCTTTTTAATACGTATTTAATTGCGGCTCGCGAAAAATTTCAAATTTTGAAAAATGGCTCGGACTATCAAGTAGCTTGGCCACCCTGGCAATAGATGTTCAGATGGTAGTTGACCTCCCATTAAATGTTTTCCGCCATCTGCGAAGTGACTTCCACGGGCAACAATGATCCTCCGACATAAATCCACTAAGTCTGCTACTTGTGTTTGATGTACAAAGTCTTTCAACACACACAGACATACACACGCACAAGAAAAAAATCAAGAGGGGTTAGAACTGCGAATCCAGGGCCCTTGTCATGAGTCCGCCACGTCTAGAATCTACTGTGTAGAAAACACTTGTCTAAATGACTCCTTAAATGTGTAACGCAATGGAAAGGATTCAATCATATTAGAAAAGAATTCGTCCGGTATCTGAGGAACAGCATAATTCTGTAGCACATCTAATTTGTAAGTAAACATTTCCAATAATAGTCTTGTCCATGAATAAGAATGGGCCGATGCACAGTGACCTCATCAAGCATTCACTTTAGGACTGTCTCGTTGGAGCTCTCTCATTACATGCGGATTCTCAGATCCACATATCTTGCAGTTATGTCTGTTAACCTGACCAGAAACGTGAAATATAGACTCATCGGTGAAAATTACTTTATTGAGAAATCGCGATCGCGAAACTTTGACAGAGACAAAGGTGTGGATTGAGGGATGATTTTTCTAAGTAGTCTACAAGAGTTCCTCTATCTTATTCCGGAAAAACAATTGTTGTTTTTCACTAATTTATAACAATTTCTTATTGATAATTTTCGTCCCGAACACTCTGTATACTTCAATCAAAACTTAAAATGGTTCATATTGAATCATTTAGGTATGAATCTAAAATATTAATCATTACCCCATTCTGAGATATTAAACGAAATAGACATCAACACACACACACACACATCCATGGAATTTTTTTGCTTTTTTTCTTTTTACTCTTTTAAGGTTCAGGAGATTTCAAAACGTGTAAATTTGCAAAAAACTCGGAGGGTCAAATTTGACACGATTCCAATACACAAACTTGTTATGTATACATAACATCCGGGAAAGTAATAAATAATCTCAGATTAAGTTAACTTATTTAAATACTATTAGAAAATTAAACAAATCTAATTAAACTTACTTCTTGAAGATTCTATTGCGAATTGACTCTCTTCTAATTTATGATGAGATTGAAAATATTTGTCTGCGCAATAGGCTAGAATAACTAACGTAGGGAAGAATAAAAATGTGATCTCAGCTTCCCAGACTTCTACAATCCCGGGACTAATGACCATAAGAACAAGTAATAACCAAATATACGCAAATATGCTAAAGAAGGCTGTAACTATGAATACCTATAAAACATTAATGAATTACCAGTTATTACAGCTTACAGGTTTTAAAAAAAATACAAACAATAGGATTAAGTACAAGCTAGCAACGCTATTTATAACATAAATATCATTAAAAAGTTTTTAAATTATTTTAAATTTGAACATTTTGTTGTTAGTATTATACTATTAAACTTCAAATTTAAAATGTATTTGTTTCTAACACATTATAGCTAAAATGTGGTATTTCTTTCTAAATTATTTTAAAATCTTACACTAATCATACGAATTCGTCTAGATTCTCCCGTTGGTATAGAAGTGATGCAAACTGCTGTAATAATAAGCAGATTAAATGCTGCCGAACCGACTATTGTACCTGGTCCCAAATCTCCAGCTTTAAATCTAAACATTTGAATTATTTTTTGAATTTTTTACATTATATAATTTATTATAAATTTAAGCAATTAATAATATATAATAAAATTCAATATTTTAATAAAAATATATATGTACGAGCATATAAAGAGACTATATAAATGGCTCCCAAAAACTGTCATGGAGGCAAAGCTTTAGGAAATGAGGAAAGCATCGCCAGATTCCGTAAACAAGACAATAGCGAGATATATAATATTTAAATTACCGTAACACACTTACTTGTTTCCTATTATCTCTACAATGGCTAATAAAATTTCGGGAGCACTTGATCCTAAAGCCATTAACGTTAAATTAGCTACAGTATCATTCCATATTTTGATTTCTAAAACTTCTGGTTTATTAGCATTTTCAGTCGCTAACACAACTCTCTTGGTTTTGCTTGTAATCGTTTCGATCGAACACATAAAAATGTCTGCGATAATTGTAACACCCAAAAAACAATAAATAAGTCCTACGATGTATAAGCAAGCTCTGGTTTCACGTGACCATGAGAATTCGTTGATTAATGGCAAATATACACCTTTATTCGAGCAAAAGTAATTGTTAAGATCAGGACAAGAACAATTATTTTCCATGTTTTACTGCAATGGTTTAAATATACGCTTTTAATTAGGTAATAATTCGCTATTAACAAATATATTTTACATTATTTTATACTATTAAAAACGTCTTTCTTAAAATAAAAGGCATATTATATGACTGGATGCAGTATTGATTTACTGCAAGATAAATCTGACAAGAAATCTATGATTAACAGTGGTTACATAGCTTCAAAATTGGATTATTTAAACTATAAAATTAAGCACAAGTTAATGTTAGTGTTAGTGTAGTACATATTTCCATTGACTTTATCAGCACCAAACCAAACCAAAAAAATTGAGTTTTTCTCCCATTCCTGTGATGTTTGTTGTTGTAACATATAGGATATTAAAGTTATATAAGGTTCTTTCCTTTTAGATGCCATTTATGTCATTCACACCGCGCAGACTATGCTTTAAAAGTAGAAACCGATGGGAAAGTCGAAAAAAACAGTTATCATGTTATTAAAAAACGAATAGATCTAAATATACATCGGTGCAACAGAGAGAAATTTAAACAAACGAATTACACAGCATGAAAAGATCTATTGTGTCGAAGATGACGTACAGCATTGTAATTATTTTCTGAGGCTAAAATGGACAAAGTTGGGGTGATGCGAATGAAATTATTATTTATATCTAATAATCTAAAAACTTTCATTCTTGACGGAAGCTTTATATATTTAGAAATATTACATGAATTATAATTTAATAAATAATTTAGAATCATCTGGAAGAAAAGAATCGAACTGGAGCGGGACGTGAACCCGCAACCTGTTTTTAGTTGCGCCACCCGGACCCGAAACTAGTCTTCTTATAATAGAACATCAATACTTATAAAATTACAAAAGATGCCTCACCCCGAGTCAGTTTTTTTCTTCCAGACGATTCTAAATTATTTATTTAATTATTTAAATTATAATTATTAATTTAGTTAAGAGATAGTGCTTAACGTCTACCTCTAGTAGCAAATTACTTAATAGTAATCATTAAATTAGCCTGATTATTTAAGGCGATCGTTTGGTTAGATTTCAAAGTACTTTTTCAAATAAAAGTTTTATCGTAGATTAATGTGAATCGTTATATATCATAGTAGGCCTATATTAAATTGATTCTCCGCAAGACAGTAAAGAAACCTAATTTAGTATTGATATTCATTTATATTAGTCAAGTTTATGACATTTTAAAAATTAAATCTGATATTATCAAAGTGAAATACAAATTTACCTACTTTACGATTTCGAAAGAGCAAAAGCATTTTAGAAATTCCATAAATTTTATCTCCAGAAACGATTAAAAGAGTATTAAAAAATACAGCAAACATGAGCGTAAAGAATTAAAATTTCGAACAGAAATGTTCTAACGTCGAGAAGTTAAGTTTTAAATAAAACAGATAAACCGTATTAAAAAAAAACAATTATTTTGTAAATTTTGAGAAATTTATTACACGCTAATATTTTTACAATTTTGTTATGATTTTCAACATATTTTTAATTTATGTAGAACGTTTACAATCGTTCTATATATATATAGATCGATTGTAAACGTTTCAGAGAATTGATAACCTGACGATGGCCTGTTGATGCGAATGAAATTATACATAAAGTAAAGTAAGTTCTCAGCAACATAAGGTATATGTGTTATAAATATATTAATGCCACTCTAATATTAATAATTCCATATTTAAAAATACAGTATATATAAGTTATTAATTAAATGGTATTTTATCATATAAAATCTAATTATTAGTATTAAAAAATTTCGAAATTATATTTACAGAAAAAGTTTCCATCTCTTTTTCTTTAAATTCCTTATTTAAAATTCATTCTATTTTTTCTCTAGTTTTTATTCAAAAATTAAGTTCAAAAAACTTTTTTAATTAATGGAACGTTTTTTAAAATTTAGTCATCATTACTACATTAAAATTATTTCCTCAAATATATCGAAATAAATATTAAAATTTTGAAAAATTAAAAGAAAAAATTAGTGTTTTTGTTTAATCTGTATTAAAATGTAGTAAATTTTATTAAAAATTTATAGTTATTTAGTGTCTTGCAATGAAGATAATATTGTTATTAAGGGAAGATGCCATCATAGCATGAAGAAACATGAGGTTCTGCACTTTTTACAAGTAAAAAACATTAATAAGTTATTTATTGTGACATCGTCACAATGCCGAGCTGCAATTTTTAATCATGTTTTTTTATTTATTTGATTTTAAAATATATGTTCTTCTCCTCAAATTAATAGTGTTTTGCCCCTGTACATCATACTTTCCTGTTAGCAATAGAGTCGTGCTGGTCATAAATTTAACACCTTTCAGATGAAATTACGGAAATAACACGACTTCCGGTTTGCATCGGAAGTTCGTATATAGTTTATTCGGGGTCTCCTGGCCCTAAGGTCTCCATAACTGGGGCCATATTCTGAGACGTCTCTCACAAGCCGGTCGCTTGTGAGAGACGAGAGACCAGAGACAGTGACCAGAATATGGCCCTGGTCTCGTCTTTCATCTATCTAACTCCGTTCTCGAGATTAAAGAACGACAGATGGACGACAGTAGAAATTTATAGATATACAATTTTTCGGATTTCAGCCCAATTATTTTAAATGTACTTACTTTTTATAATTTATCTCTTTTTCATGCGTTCACTGCTAGGAAGGAAGCAAACGGCTTTTCTGTTGCACTATTTTTAATGTGATTAAAATGAATATTGTTGTTATTATTATTATATTTCTATTATTATATCAGTAAACAAGTCATTAATATTGTATTATTTATTCCATTGTAGATAACTACTATTATAAATAAATAAATATCCAACTCCTGATTCCTGAAAATGTTCATATGGTTTAGGTTTTTGTAACTGTCTTGCAGGATTATTATCTTTTAGATTATTATTAGTGATGTAACGAATATTCGGTTACTATTCGGTATTCGGCCTATTTTTCACTATTCAGCCGAATACCGAATATTTAATCACTATTCGGCCGAATACCGAATACGTATAAACAGGAGTAAGAAATAACAAAAATACAGTAAATTAATCATTTTGGTATTTAGATTTAATGTTATCGGGTTAGTGTTGTTTGTTTATATTTATTTATAACTTGTAACATGCACAAAATAAAAAAGAAAATAATATTAGTCACATGTATTCACAATTTATAATTACAAAGATCAGCACACGTACACGTCTATCGTTGGAGAATCCTCGCACATCTGAGGGTCTGACCCTGCCTATCCTTCTTTTTAAGCGCTCGTCTTTGCTCTTCCCTTTCTCTTTCCTCTATCGCTCTAATCCATGTATGCCTGTGCATACATCATAATACGCGCTCACGATACTTTCGATTCGTCACTTTTCCGTCGTAGAGTTCCCATTTTACAATTACGTGACTCAGCCTGGTGATAACGGAGAAAAGAGACAGATAGGACGTCGATATAAGTCACAGTTATGATTTCACAGATTCGAGACAGCTTGATAGCCCGAACGGCCCCAGGCTTTCGCCCGTGCACGCTAAGTGACTTTCATTACAAGCATTTAGCTTTCCGAAGTCTATGACAACAATTGTTTGGCATTGACGGCCGCGAATTTCGTGCCAATAAGCTGCCTCGACTTGTTCGATTATGTTATCAACTCAATTTCATATTTATTTTCACATTTTCACTTCGCGGTCCTTCTCTGTTCTTTTTTCCGTTATTTACACGTGTAGGTCATTTCACTGTTATCCACATTTGATATTATCATTTATCACATACTGCCATGACGATCGTCTGTCCGCTACAACTGACAAGAATTAACGCGATTGGCGAAGCGTAGTGACAGCGGGCCAATAGAGAGCAGGATCCTTGCCATAATGCGGTTTGCGCGCCAATTTACGTACGTGCGTTAATCGAGCCGAATAGTTTGGCCGAATAGTCGAATATTCGGCCACGCTCCTGGCCGAATATTCGGTATTCGGCCTGAGGCCGAATATACTATTCGTTGCAACACTAATTATTATTAACTGCTTCTGAGCTGTTATTTTTATCTTCTGCTGCAGCCTCATTATGTTTTTTGAGCTTTGTAATTTCAGCTGTGATTTTTTATCACCGATTTCATTTTCAGGTGATTCTAATGGTTTGGTGCTTGTATATAACTTTCAGATGATACTTTGGTATGATCGAAACTTACTGCAGGGACAGATATAACACCAATGTTCTCTTCTAAAAATATTATTATTAATGTTAATAACTGTTTACATATTACCAATTAAAAATTCTTACATATATACCTGAAAGATTTGTAACACATTTTTCACACTTGATTCTTTCAGCAATTTCTACTGAAAAATTCAAGAAAAAATACTGGGAACTGTGTGCGCGCACGCGTGTTTGTTTTTCAAGTTTTTTTCTCCCAGTTAATGTATGTTGAAAGTCTTCGAATTTAAAATATAAAGAGCAAAAGGATGTAAATTTCTGAATGTAGAAAAGCCGATATTAAAATTTTTTTTATAAATATTTATTAATTGATAACGATTCTGTGTATTGATACTTTTTGAAATATCACCTGCATGAAATTTATTTCCAGAATCTCATCAAATGTAATCAATCCACTGTTTTAATATCCGTTTATATAAAGATAAACGATGAAATGTTATTTTCCTGCCTGCATCCGCTTTTTTCATTGTTTTTTCTTATGTAACTATTTACATAAGAAAACGGTACAATGAAGCACGCAACATTGTCGCCACAGTAGTGCTACAGTATCTGTTTTCTTCGCCCGCACAAACTTCTAGCAGCTCAAGCTTCGTCTTCAAGCTGGGAGCTGCCATTACCGGAAGAAGCCGTGGAAAAGACGAATTTTATATTTTCTGAACGTGAAACAAAATCTCGACCACAGCGCACCAAGAAAAAGATATGGTTACTAAAAAACTTTCGAAATTATAAATATATAACATAACTAGCTGTTACCCGCGACTTAGTCCGCGGAGGTTTTGCAAGCAAGCAAACCCCATTTACATTCAATATTTCAATAACCATAGTAATTGTTATATAACACCTACCGCTGAAGAGAATTGCTGAGAATCAAACGAACTATTTTCAATTTGATCAATTTTCTGGAACGTTTACAATCGTTCTATAATCGAACCAATATGCAATAACAAATTCGAATTTAAAACGGTTCGAACATTTNAAAAAATCTTGAATCTTTTGCATGTCTCGGAATTTCAAAGTGTCCCGAGTCGAAAAATTAAAAATTTGGGGAGGGTCATTTTCTGACCGAGTGCTACACTTTCCCTCTGTTATATACAAGAGCGGAAAAGTAAAAATTATTGAACACACATTTATATATTGACTGTGTCATTACTTTAAATGTAGAAACTTTTTTATTTAGCTAAAAAGACTCCTCTATCTTTATTTGAACTCTACTTATGAATTGAATCTTTTATTCTAAGGTCATGTGATGACATCAGAATTTCTTTTGGTAACAAGTCCGCCCCTGTCGGAGTCTGATAGCAAGGCAAAAGTCAGAGTTGGTAGATTTTTATGTGACTCCAAAGCCCTGAAAATAACTGACTTCAAACGTTTTTTTGCCACTTTATTATGGGCATTCCAAAGACTGTCTAGGCAACTCTCTTGTACTAAGGCAACAGGTAAAGGTAGTTTACCTGTTGAAAAATGCATTCCAATACATGCTTCTGGTCAGCCGACCAAATCTTAAGGATAGAGTTTGGTGCACGGCCCGTCCTCTACCAGAGACGTCCAAGTATTGTAAATTAAGGTATTTTACTTCATTTCTTTGTGGAGAACAGGCACATACCACCATGGTAGGAGTTCCTTATAATAGATGATGGCAGGGCTTGCAAAAAACTCAAATTTGGCACATGCATCTTCACTGGGCTCCTCCCTTATTAAAAAAAGTTTGATTGTCATATCATAGAAGAGCTTTTAGTTGAAAGTAATATCTCAAAAATTACAGGGTCTTTTGTACCAAAATGCATACCAGTAATGAAGTTGCATTCTGATGATATCACACTGCTAAGTCTCTTATCTGTACAGTTTTGTTACAAAAGTATAAACACAGTCTTAATTTAAAAAATAAAATAAAAGCCATAACTCCGATTTGGCATTAAGTAAATTTTTAACTTTAGATATCCTAAATCACATGTTAAAGTATCTTAATAATTCAGTAGTAATTTCAAAAAGATCATGCTTAATATTAATAAGATTTAGTTTATTTTTTAAAATGTGGATATTAGACAGCAAGAATAAGCAGAAAATCTGTATCAAGCACAACACGAACATTTAAAAATTCAAAGTAAATTTAACTTAATGGCAACTTAAATTTAAATTTTATGGCAAATTACACTTTAAAAAATTTATTCCGCATTGTATTCAAATTTATGAACTTTAACAACTTGTTTTGTTAACTGAAAAAATTTAGCAACAAGAGTTTTATAACAGCCGGGAAATTATACAAGGTTTTTAAAATAAAAACGCATGGTCATTAAAAATATAAAAAGTGCAAAAAGCTTAATTTTGAGCGTAGAGACGTAGAGGAGAGTATATATATATACACACACTATGTTAATAACAAATTAAATCTTCATTAAGTCCTACCCATCTCGAGATACATGACCTCTATCTCTTCACCCACTCGACCTTTCACCACCAAACTTTTATAGCATCAATGCCCACATATACAAGTCACCATGCCAAATTTCGTTTTTTAATCTTTACCCCATCCTAAAATATTAAGCGAAGTAGACACCAACACACACACGAAATTTTTTGCTTTTTTTTACTTTTTTAGATTTAGGTGGTCTCAAAACGTGGAGATTTGCAAAAAACTCCGAGGGTCAAATTTGATACGATTTCTATACTTTCCCTTGTTGTATGTACAGTACATAAACAGCCGAAAAAGTAAATTAAGGTAAAAACAAAAAATTCAATTTCTTAGTCAAATTAAAACTTTATTATATTCATTTTTCGGAAATAAAAGTATACAAACAAGCAACAAGAAGTATACAACAAATATTAAATGCAAACTTTAAAGTTCGATTCTTTCGTTAGGAAGTTTGAAAATAAAAAAAAAATTTAAAAGATTTAAAAATAATTTCGTTATTTCTTTTACTAAAATCCACATGAAAATTAACTCTTGTGTCGTAAAGTTAACTTTTTTTAAAATTAATGTTCATCTTAAATTAAATAACGTCTGTATATAAAATCCCATTGAACAGGGAAAGCTTCAATTACAAAATTTTATAAGATTTAAAAAAACAATTTTGTAATTAGATATAATTTATTACAAACTTCACTAAACACATCAGAATTGTTGGCATAAAAATGAGCCGTCGTTGATATAGTAATTCTATTTTCAGGTGTAATCGCTAAGGGAGAAAAATTTACTCTAATTATATATCGACAACATTTTTCGAAAACTATTGCAGATGGAGATATATTTACTTCACCTGTAGGTCCGCAATATGAATATATTGATGTTAAGCAAGCTTCTTTTTCTTCTTTTATTTGATAAATTTTAACGGCAACCAAAAGCGTATTTTCATTAGCATTATGATGTATGGGAAGATACAGTTTAACCAGAAAACACTTTGCATGAACTGATAAATCGCAAAAGAACATATGGCTGTCAGTCAGTAATCTTTCCTCGTTTATAAAAAAATCACGATGGTTATGATAGTGAAATAAATTTATGTAATTATCCATTGTTCTTTTCTTCGTGTCAGTACAGATATTAGTTATGGACGAAGTATCAGAAGGATTATTAAAATAGTTCTTAATTTCCTTTACTTCTGTTTCGTTCAAAATATTTTTCACGAAAACTTTTTCTAATTCATCCAACGTCATACATAAAAATCTGATATGAGGTAGAAAAGGTTTCATTTCTTGTCTAATGAGATCAGAATCGGGAAGGAAGCCATTATTCAAAACTCTCATTCGAGCCCATAGATATAATCCAGTAAATATAGATAATTCAGATAAAGTAATGTAGATAGGACACGTTACAAATCTTTCAACTGTTCTCTTTCCAGAATGAATAAATTCTTCTCCTACAATATGATAATGAGTATATTGTCGAAATTGTCTCCAACAATAAAATTCTAATTCAGCATCTCTAAAATTTACAGCGGAATCATAAACTTTGGTAGAGAATTCAGTGCCTGTTGTCATAATATGACGTTTCGAATTTTCCTCTAAATGCTTAATTTTATATCTTCTGCCAATTTTATACATTTCAAATGCTTCATGAAATGATCGGGGATGTACCTCTACTCTTTCTAGGCCTATATACCTATAAATATATAAAATTTTATTTTATTTTATTATTCAATTTTAAAAAAGTTTATTATACATTTTATACATTTCAAATGCTTCTTGAAATGATCGGGGATGTACCTGTACTCTTTCTAGGCTTATATACCTATAAATATATAAATTTAGTTTAATTTTAATATTCAATTTAAAAAAAGTT